CTAAATGAATTCCACTGCGATTCAGTTTCTCTTAAAATTCGTTTACAATGTTCATGATTCAAAACTTTAAGATTTGGTAAGTGAATTCATTTTTAAAGTTTACAGGAATTGTTAAATAGTGGTATATGTACATATATATATCTCTGTAAAGACAAATGTTTTGACGGATCTATTAAAAAGATAAATAAATTACGATCATCTGAATCCTTAAAAAAAAATAGCGACTTCACTCGCCAAGGATGTGATATAAGGATGTGATTATAGAGTGCCTAAGTACGCAGATATAACAGTAGCGTATGATGGCTATATTCCATAATTGCTTGGTTTGAGTTTCCTTCAATTTTGTCATTATGGATACGTTTTAAGAGGTCCTTTAGGTATATCGCTTTGACTATTAGGTCTATGTTCGTTGTTTCGACTTGTTTAATGCAAAACTCCACGTAGCGTATTGAGTTACCAACTTGACACTCGTTAGCTGCCAACTTTGGAAATTCGATTAGCCTCTTTTGTCTCGAAAATCAACAATGCCTGCAACTGTCTGATCTTTAATGTTTGTTTTGAATGCTGGATTCTTCTTGTTATTGATTTTTTGTTTGAATTGTTACTATGTATTTGTTAAACTTCGAATATTTACGAGTATTATTTTAGAGTTTGCATATGCGTATTGCTAAATCTAAACTAATATTATAAAGAGTCTAAGGAGGTAAGATTTTATTGTTTGTTTATCTATACTAATAGTGTAAGGAGAAAAGATTTATTTCTTTGTTTGTAATGGATAAACTCAAAAATTACATAATCAATTTTAAAAATTCTCTCACTTTTGTAAAGCTACATTAACAGCGAGTAACATTCTATCTTCCCTTGCGATGTTCGAATGGTTTGATAATATTAAATAAATTGACTAGCTGTATCTGCAACAACTTATGTCCTCATGAGTAGGACATACTTATTGTATTATATGACTGGATTAAATTCAATAAACAGTAGCTTAAATACAGTATATTAATTATCGATGATATACGTCATGGATGTATATGTAATGTAGTGGATGTAATTTGATCACGTTTGGTGCAGTTATTAATTGTAAAAATTATTTATTTGTTGTCTGTGTCATAAATGGAACCTACATTCTTAATTTCAACTATCTACATTCAAGATGCCTTTTAAAAAATATGTATATATAAAATGACTTTAGAATGGAACGATAAATAAATACCTTTTTACAACAACTATTTTTATATAAAATGTAATCTCTCTCTTTTATGTAAATAGAATCACTCACCTGATAGAATGTAGTAATCATCGTTTATTACCTATATATAGATAATACTATGTACAATACACTGTAATGCAAGTAATCCTTATGTATTGCCTCTTCTGAGGACTAACTTGCCAAGCCTACTATAAGAATTATTTAAGCTGATTTAAAAAATGGAACATTGTTTCTAGTTTTTTTTCCCCCTTCCTTCCACCTTCTTTATTACTTCTATTACACATTCACGCTTTTCACAACTTCACCAAATGTTTGGTAGCGAGTTGTTTCATTAATTTATTCACAATTGAACTGTCTTATCTTGTATAACCACAAGGCCTCCACAACTTTATGTTTTAGCTTTTAGTTAATTATCTCGCCCCACTACAACGGGGTTACCAACTTTTAATTAAACTTTTGGCTTGAGAGTAATGTTGTTTATATGCTTCTAGTAAAAAATACTGACTTTGTGTGTAATAGGAAATTATTTTTAAATAATGTTTAAATGATTAAAAATGTAGTATTTGAAACAGGAAATAACAAATTATGCTTATTTAATAAAAAAGGTTATTAGTGATAATTTTGTATTGAATTAAAAATATCAAAGTTTTTTAATTAGTCCAATTTTGTATCAGACTAGAGGTTGCGTGATCGTGTAGATACTCGCGGTTTGAGAAATTAAACTGATGTGCGACACACAAGTATGAGAGGAATTATGAAAGTTGATGAAGAAAAAAAAACAGTGGGCATTTTTTTATATAAAATATAAATATAAACACATTGATAGCCCATTTAATGAAAATTGGTAACCGTCGTCTGTAAACAAAAATGTCATCATGGATATTACAGAATACATTGTGATACGCATGACAGATTCATTCAAATATCGTCGTCATTCGGATTAATTTGATGATAAGCAAATTTGGCTCCGACTACTTAGTAACCTAGAAAAAAAATTAAGAATTGTCGTCAACAATACGAATACATGAATTCGATTTAAATGTCCCAATATATTTAAATAGAATTCTTCAATAATCAATAATATAACCATTTGTCATTTTAATATAAAACTCCAAGTTGCCAAAATCGTTTATAATTCGTTTAAGTCTCAAATTACTTAAATCCATCTCTCTTCATCCATCACTTTGCGCAATATCGTATTGATCTGCATAAAATATATTGTATAATATATGTGTGTATCTATTGTAGCTGAATTTGATTAAACAAATTGTATCAGTCTCTGTTAAATTTCTTTCATTAAACCTTTGTTTAATAACTGTCAGACGAAATATAAATTGGATGTACATTATTAGATCTGACAAAGAAGTGTAATAAAGGACTCTTTTATTCTGTTAACGCCTTTCATTTGATCATTAATGACAAGATGTTGTTCATAATTGAATTCTTTGAGCGTGATCTGGACAGATAAAACTGTAGTAGATTTTTTGTAATTTAACGTTTCGTTGTACAAAAATTTTAATAATGATTTATGTAATTATTTCATATAATTAGTATAAGACCAACTGACTATGGCAATTATGTAGTAAGAGTGTCTATAGACTATAATAATATCAGAAGATTGAAGACATAAATACTCCATGCTATTTGATAACTAAACGCGCTATATATATTTTACTTATTTTCTTGTTACAAAGTTGTTTATTTTATTGATAGCAAGCCTTTTCACATGCCAAAACCTTTATAAAATAGCATTTGTATTCCAGTCAATCTTCAAGTCTTTTTTAGATATAAATTTTAATGTTGGAATTCAGGATCGAATTTGAGTTGGGTGTTCAAGTAGGGTCGTAATTGTAATTTTAAAAATCTTTATTGTACATAACTCAGATTAAATATTGGTAAATGATTTAATATACAATGTCTTTTGTGTTTAATCGCAATAAATGAGTATACGTAGTTGAAACATCTGTTTAGATATTTATTTAAATCAAATGTCTGTTGAAGTTTGTATGTTGATAGTACTTAGTCTTCATAAACGGTTGGTCACTCATGTGGAATTAGTGACGTAGTTGTACTATAAATTAAAGTGTCTATTTTGTTTGCAAAGTAAAACCTTCTGCTTGCAGCAAGAGCTATCGTAGTCAATATTTATTTAAAGATTACACAGAGCTCGTTCGTCGAATATAAACGTTAGCAGTAATAAGGAAACTTTGCCCGAGAAACGGTACTAATGGTCGTAAATGCCTGTGCGTGCAGTCACATAAACTCCACTTGTAAAGATCTATGGCAGTAGATTTTGCAGATTTTCTGCAGAACATGCCAGTAAATAGACGATTATTCAGTCAAACTACGCAGTAGAAATTATTACAAACTAGCGTTTGCCCGCGATATCGTGTGACGGGGATGTGTTGATTGACTAGGATAACTTGTAGCCTATAAACGTGTAGTAAATGATTACCAAATTCCATAATGATAGGTTGAGCTGTTGAGGTGCAGGAGGTAACAAATAAACACACTTTCTCATTATTAATATATATTATATAATATTAGGAAGTATTAGTAAATAAGATTTTTTATTACCTCTTGGTACTTTTACGGTTTTTTTAATAGATGATAATGAAATGGTAATCCTGTCTGCGCTATCGGTATATACTGGTGGGCTACCAGTGAGGGATGATTACTAATTGCGCCTGCAACTTCATTCATGTAACCAAGATAAAAAGTGGGCTATGTCGATTTTCAGTCCAAAAATGTTACCCGCATTAATTGGACTGAAGGTGGAATTGGTATATCAATTTTTATAATTATTGATTTGGCCGAAAGATGTTAAGAGGTAACAAATATTATGTTTGAGAAAAAAAAATCTCTTTCTCTACTTAAGCTGCATACTCATACAGTGAGTGTCTGTAGTTCCATACAGTTTTTATTACACACCGGAATTAAATTTACATCAAAGATTTTCTTTTCAGACATAAAGTCCTAGAGAAAAAGACAAATATTATAGGAGATTTTGAACGCAGACAAATTATTAGTAGTCTGCGACCATTCTGCGGACTCAGGTGTTATTCGTCTCAATCCTGTAAATTAACTGTCATATCCCACCCTTCAAACCGAAACACAGCCATAAAAACACAACTACTTCACGGTAGAATCACGGTTAGAATTTATATTCTCAGTTAGAACATAGGTTATTTTATATACTAATTCATGCCGACGATACTGTAAGATTCTATTAATTATAAATGTATTAGTAGTAGTAATAGTTTGCAAAGATGTTTGAATGTTTGTTATTTAATCACGTTTAAGCGATTGAACGATTTGAAATGAAATTTGGTACACGGATATATAATAAATTAATAGAACTTAACACTTTCACGCGGACACAGCTACAGGAAATTACTAAGATTATTATATCAAAAATTTGATTAAAAAATTACCTAATCTACTATACATGATTTTATGATAGATTAGGTATTTTTTTTTATTTGCATTACTAATCAGTTTATATTATCCGACATAATGGCAATGGTCTTATATAAAAATAATAAATTGCATGAAATTACAAATTGCTATAAAAATAACGTTGTTTATGATTTCGTTTATGGTAGAGAACACCGATAACATACCAAATTCCGAGTGATGGCGGTAGGCTTCCCCTATCCGTTACATTTTAATATGTTTGTCAAACTTGAGTGTTACTTTCACCGTAATGGCATCTGTTTATAAAATGCCTCTGTCTAATCCATATTTATTTTTAAATTTATAATAACCAAGATATTTTTGTTTAAAGGAAAGCGACGAGGCAAGTGGTAGATGCGTGGTTGGTGTCACACGCGACGCCTCCCAGCGCAGAACTCGCTTCACCGTCCCGAGCTGGCTCCGGATCTGGCGCCACCACACCTGTTAGGTATGTTTACATCATCATTATAATCAATTCAGTTGCTAATGAATATGCCTACTGAATATGTTCGGAGGACAATTAGCAGCTTATATATAGAGAAAGCCTATGGCCTTTCCTTATAGATTTTTTATGGGAGGAAATGCAATGGTAACACTCTTCGACTTATCGGTGCAGGCGGGGCACTAGCTGATAATGATAAGTGAAGATAAAGTTAGATAAAATGTCCCGTTTACCATCAGACGGGTTGTATGCTTGATTACCACTTTCGTGGTATACAAAATAAAAAATTGTTCCATTATTACGAACTCTTAACAATGACCCCTCACTCCTTAGTACTGATAATCTTTTTCCCTATAGATTACCATTGAAAATGGTGCTGAGTCACCTTCCCTACTGACTCCCTGCAATGCTATATAATATTATATTTTGATTTCTCAATTCGGTTACTTTAAATGAATGTAAAAAATTGCATAATATATAATACTCGTACATGAAAAAAATAGCAATTAAGAAAATTCTTGATATTGGTCGAAGAAATAAATTACTTGCCAAGACAGTTTTCTAGTTTGTTCTGCGTACATACTTAAAAAGTGCTGTGTTTCTTAAGGGACAAGTGCTTTCTGCTATCGAATCTTAGTAAGCAGCGAAACAAAGTTCGTGAAGATTATATCTTTATAATGAAGTGCTGTGGTCTGTGCATACCAAAAACCATTCGTTCAATATCTAATTTGGGTCGCCAGTTTTCTCAAGGAACGTAGCATTAAGGTCGTAGTCGACGGTGCATGCTCTGATTTAAAACCTTTGAATGCTGGTGTCCCGCAAGGCTGTGTACTATCTCCGACTCTGTTTCTTCTGCATATCAATGATATGTTACAGATAAGTAATATTCATTGCTATGCGGACGACAGTACAGGAGATACATTATATACCGGTCATGCAAAGATCTCGCGGGCACATACCGATGAGTGCCGGAATAGACTTGTGTCTGAAATCGAAACTTCACTCCATCAAGTTTCGATCTGGGGTGAACAAAATCTTGTCCAATTTAACCCCAAAAAGACACAAGTCTGCGCGTTTACCGCAAAAAAGACGCCGTTTGTCGTATCTCCTCACTTTCAGGGCACTTCCCTTGATAAAAAGTCAAGTCTAGGAATTCTGGGCGTTGATATATCTTGCGACGTCCAGTTTTGCGGTCATCTGGAGGAGAAGGCTAAGATAGCTTCCAAAAAGTTAGGAGTGCTCAATAGGGTGAGACGATATTTCATGCCAGAACACCGCCTGAAATTATATAAAGCCCAAGTCAGGCCGCATATGGAATACTGTTCTCACCTGTGGGCAGGAGCGCCACAGTACCAACTCCTTCCGTTAGACCGCATTCAAAGTCGGGCGGCTCGAATTATCGATAGTCAACGCCTTACTGTCCGACTTGACCCATTGAAACTGCGCAGAGATGTTGCGTCTCTGTGCATCTTCTACCGAATTTATCATGGGGAGTGTTCTGAGGAATTGTTCGGATTGATACCTGCTGCTGATTTTCACCACCGTACAACCCGCCACAAACTAAAGTTTCATCCCAATCATCTGGACGAGTGGCGGTCTTCCACCGTGCGTTTTTCAAGGCACTTTCTTCCACGCACAACCATTCTTTGGAATCAACTTCCAGCAGCAGTATTTCCGAACCGATACGACAACATAACCTTCAAGAAAAGAGTATATTCCTTTTTAAAAGGCCGGCAGCACACCTGCAATGCCGCTGGTGTTGTGGGTGATCATGGGCGGCGGTAGTCACTTACCATCAGGTGAGCCGCATGCTCGTTTGCCCCCTGTGTTGTAAAAAAAAAAAAATCTAAATCTAAAAAAAATTTTTGTCATATATTTATTCGTCCATGTAACTGGGATACTCGTATTATTGATTAATTGCGGTAAAAAAGTCGCTTATGTCCGTCTTTGTTCAAATACATACAATATTTCATGACAAGTGGTTGGAAAGTGTCATAATATAACAAATTTACTTTCCCATTATAATAGTATGGATTTGGCTCTTCAATTGTTATACAGGCAAACATATATTACTGTTGGATAAATAATAACCTTCTCCTATTTGAAGTTGGTTGAATCTGAAATTTCCCTTGATATTTTATAATCTTCTACACGCAGAATATTATTATACTATTTCTGAGCTTGTGGTTTATAACTCCGCAGATTTCAAACTACATTTTATACAAAACTCTCATCAATTTGGCTGATCTCCGCACGGCGGGGATGTTATCTCCTATCCTCCCTTCATCAATCTCTTGTCATCCCTTATTCCTGTAATGCAGCCTTTTCGGAATAGTTTTCGGATTTTCGAGTCCGTGTCTTGGTTTCGAAATATTTTGTTACATATATAATTCACCGATTCCATATAATGAGACAAAGGCAATCCTACTTTGTTATATTTGTAAAGATGTTTAGAAATGTCGATATTTGCATGTTGTTGTAGGGTTTATATTGAACATATTGCTTAATATGTCTTAGATTAAAATATACTCTTTGTATTAATTTTTATTAGTATTTATTTATTGCCTTTTAATCAACTCTCAACAAGAACAATGACATTCTTAGTTAAGGAGGGAATTAAAGTAGGAAGAGAGAGTTTTGTGTTTTTGCGAATTTTGAACTGATTTGGAAATTGAGTTTATTTCCGTGTTCGCTATATATTTTGTCACGATTATTATCGATGTTTCTCTTTGTAAAGTATAATTTTGCTTGTTGCGGAACAAAATCTACTTGAAACATGATCAACACGTCACACGATTCCGCATTTTAATACAAATATTTATTAAATCTAATTTCTGTATTATTTCAGTTTTGTTATGCTTACGATAGAAATAGCTGCGTTATTTTTATATCACGGAGAAAAATTTATTTGTTAAAAAAATCTTTCACGGAATACATTAAAAGTATAAATAAGCAAATAATAAAAGGACCGTAAACATTTCACACGTATTTGTTGTGCCGTTTTCATGCAAAGTTTTATAACGATGGAACTCGGATACAAGTTTATGTCGTTATAATAAACAGATACGTCGAAATTTTTAGAGATAAATTTATCACTAGGTAAGGTTAGTGTTTGCTTATATATATATATAATAAAGCAAACATATATAATACACTAGTATTAGCAACCTGCCCTGGATACGCATGTTTAGAAAATTTCAAATTATTTTAAAATAAATTAAGCTCATATTATACATTGATAATGTAGCTTTCTATAAGTGAAAAAACTTTTAAGAGCGTGTTAGTATTTTTTGAGTATATTAATTACAAAAAATTTAATCTTTCTTCTTTATAATATTAGTTTAAATTAGTTTTTATCTACGTGATTGTGACATGTTAATTTGTAAGAATAAAAAGTAGTCTTATGTTTGGTTGAATCATTAAGACGCTTAGAGAACAAATAAACTCACATTTATTATATTAGTAAAAATAAATAGTTACTTTAATTTATATACTTGAAATACTATCGAATACTAAGGAAATGTAGGGAAGCTCTTCCTTTTAGGCGTAACTTATTATAATTAATCACCATGATTGAATAGGAATGTCGACACTATAATACTTATATTTCTATCGTTTGAGTTCACCACTGTTACTAAAACCATTAGTAAATAATGGGGCTTATTCTAAGAGGTCTACATAAGTACCGACCTTTCGAGTTTTAGGGATTTATGTTAATGTATTTGTGTACCTGGTATCCAAACCACCTAGAAACCTGTGTTCGCTGCCAAAAAATAGCATCATTTGAGAAAATCTGTAACGCTCTTTTCAATTTCCAAGTAACAAATTACCATAACACATAATTTATGTTTAAATGCGCTAGAAATGCGAGCCTTATGCAGAGTTTGCAAGATCTCATTTATAGTACACTAGTGCTACAGCGAGTTAATTTGAAAAAAAAAGGTATGCTACGTTGGTTCAGGAATGTGGAATAAATGAATATGAGATGAAAGGTTCACAAAATATTATATATATATATATATATATTGTTTATGTATTATTCTTTAACTGGTACAGTAAATAGTATATGAATTTATCTTCTGATTTACTTCCTTGTATTCGTATTTAAACAGTTATCTATATCACTTTTGAGAAGGTCAACAACTATTTATCTGTCTTCACGCTAACAGTGCATGTTTACATTGGGTCAGTTACAGACTCCAAATTCGAGATAGGTCAGTAATGACCCGATACCATCATCGTGTAAATATAAATATATTATTTTTGACTTTTTTTTATGTGTTTAAAGATCTATTTATTTATCTGTCTTCACGCCATTGGTACATGTTTATATTGAATCAGTTACGAACTCCAAACTCAAGACAGGTCATTCATGATTCTACTGTCATCGTATAAATATTAATATTTTTTTATTTCCCTCTTTGTAAATAGTTATCTATATAATTTTCCACAAGGTCAACGGCTATTTATCTATCTTCACGCCATTAGTGCATGTTTACATCTGGTCAATTATGGACTCCAAATTTGAAACCGGTTAGGGCCGATCCGTCACTATCATCATGTAAATTGATTTCAAATCACAACTATCGCTTCAGTACTGGCTGGAATTTTTTTGTTAGATAATTATTTTTAATAAATGATAATAAAATGGTAACCGGAACTGCGCTAATGGTAAATGCTGGCGGGGCACCCGTGAGAGATGATAGATAAGGATAAAACAGGTCAGTTGGCTCATAGTGGCGAAATCATAAGGAATTAACCAACATGGTTTCCAGAGAGACCCGCGTTTTGACAGCATATCTAAATATTTCTAACAATAGGGCTATTAGATTCCCATTCTAAAAAATCCTTTTTCCTTGTTGGATATTTGGAATCAATTAGCTGATACCATTTAAATATTTTGTTATGTGATTTCGGCATAGAATGGGCCGCTCCTTCCTTTCCCGTAGGTATTGTAGGAGGCGACTAAAAGAACTTAATAGACGAGGAATAGGCAATAGCGTCCCTCTTTAAACATTACAAAATCCTGGTGACTTGTGATACGGGTTCTTCGGATACCCAGTTCAGGCACCAGTTCTCTATAACTTTGATGTATATATATTAAATGATTAATTGTACTTAAAAAATTGTGAGATAAATAAATAAACATTATTCTTATTATTACAAGTGGCAACTACTGGTAAAACTCCTCAATAGGGGAAGGCCTATGTTCAACAGTGGATACTTAATGGCTTTTAAGGTGATTATGATGTAAATAGTACGTGCCAGTTTTTCATCGCCGATAGTGATGCCTGTTACTAAATGTGAACTTATGTGTAGTTAAAGTCAATAGATAATGTCTAAAATTTTTACTATCTGTCGACAGGAAGATCTCAGCGCACGAATTTGAGCGAGGGGGGCTTTTGAAACCATTGGTGACAACGGTTGATGGCACACCAACCTTCCTCGGTGACCAGCCTTTACATGCGACTCCATCCAGGCCGCAACGACGGTCGAGGCATGAACTCAGGCAACTCGACGAGAAAGAGCTCATATTTGAATTAGTAAGTATTGAAAATATTGTGTAAAATATAATTTGTACTTCGCGACTTTCCCCGCGTGAATTGCTGTGTAACATATTTTTTTTTAAATTAATTTAGCCATTTAAACTTAATTAAGCAACCAATCAATCGCAAGCAATTCAATCTTTCATGTCAAGTACTATATACATATAATGACGTTTCATTTAGCCCTTAAGACTCACCTTCACATTTAAAATATTAGCATATTCTAGAGAACTCGTTACGCTATGATATTAGTAAGGAAGAAGGATGTAACTGAGCCGTGAAACTGCTATCTTTAATGATAATGGTCATAAATTGTACCAATGTGACCTCGGTGCTTATGCAAGATGATGATAATTATAGATATGATTATCTTCGAATAAATACGCTATTCTGTTCTATAAATGTTATCTAACAGTGAATAGATAAATGAAATAATTTTGCCACTTTATAGCTTTAAATTCACTAGTAGAAGGAAATGATACGCTGCTGGATATTAACTGATTGAGATAATTGGTATAAAAAAATTAAAATAAAATAAAATTTAAAAGTGTAATGACTGTTTACGTTAATTTATTTTCCATTATAAGTAATATGAGTAGTTATTTTAATTCCAAATAATTATAAAAGTCCTAAAATGTGATAATTGTAACGAAGTATTGCATTTTTTGTTTTATGCGTCTTTAATTTTAATTGTGAATTATTATTTTTATAATAAGATTTGGAGTGTTTCTTTAAAAAGGAAAATTAAAACCAATCAAAGAGATTTTATATTAAAATTAATTAAATTTTAAAACTTCTTTTAATATAAAGGTCATTGTGATTGTATAAAATGTTTAATAGGTATATTTTAATTTAAGAATTTGAGTATTTCATTATTGATACAAATTAAAGAATAAACAGGATTTTGCTCAACACTTAAGGACAGTAACTTCAATCGTAATAAAATTAATACAAGGCCAATATAAGTGTAAATCCATAGATTATAAAATAATTATTAAAATCGGTTTAGAATAAACAATGAAGTACCATATACGCAAAAAGTACAAGCAAGTTAAAAACTCACTTTCGAACGTCGTTTAATAAAATGCAAAAGGTCAACTCATTTGTCTGCAAAAAAGAATTAATAACTTTTCCCAGAAAAGAAAAAAAAATCCATTTTTCTTTGCGAATAAAATACGGTTTGTTGGAAAACGGAATATACTTGTCGATTGTGAATTTTGCATTATACATTTTAATGTTTTCTAATTATATATGTATGTATAAATCTAATATTGTTCTACGAAATACGAGGTACTTTGTTGATCTATTTTATCACGATAGAAAGAGCCGTTTTTTTAATCGAAGTCGAATGTGAAAGTAAAAAATGATTTCCTAAAAGTGTGTCCCAAATTGCCCAATGAGACTATCATAGCTTCGTAATATCCGTTTGAAGAAATTAACATTTACCATTTAACGTCGATCGCTTTTTCATGGAATCTTTTAGGGCTATTAATTGCAGCTAATTTGATTATTATCACCGATAAAGTGATGCGTGTCGGAAATATCGATATAATCAATATTTAAAGGCAGAGACGGTGATAAAGCTTGTTATTAATAATAAATATTGACAAAATAGGCTCAGTAATAATAAATATTATAAATATGAACGTGGACCAAGTCGTGTTTATAAACTAGTAATAAACGAAAAATATTTAAGTCGAACGTAAAGATCTATTAGACAATAATTTATAATATAATTATATGATATACAATTGGCAACACTCTTGATCATTCACAAAAAAAAGAACAATCCAGCAATCGGGTCGACTCGCCTATGTTCGTGCCGACTCGTTCTTGAACAACTACTAATTAATAATTTTAGCAATTAATAGAAGCGTGTAGTGAATGAAGTTAGTAATCGGATGAAATTAGTAGTCGGCTGAATTGAAAATCATTCGAATGATCCGAATGAATTGCTCAATTGAATAATTTGTAGTCGGATTAGTAAAGTCGTGCATCGCTATGTTAAACGAATCTTTTGAGGTCTTATTATTTTTCAACAGAGTGCGACCCCCTTTAATAACAAACGCGACCCCGCAATGGTTGCGACCCCTTGCTTGAGAAACGATGGGTTAACCAATTGGCAACTAATTATAATAAATCAATTACTTGAATTAGTTGCCCTAATTTGTACGGACATAGCCGTAAGTATATATATATTTATATATATATATATATATATATATATATATATATATATATATATATATATATATATATATATATATATATATATATATATATATATATATATATATATATAGTTTAATTTATATTATAAAATTATTTACATTCGCTAGTTGTATTCCACTTTCTTGCCTTGCCCACATAATATGCAGTTTTCCACGTGCTTACATTAAATTTAGAAAAGAAATTGAAATTCGAATTTTCGACAACGATTTGCCTCGATAAACCTATTGTGTTACCTACATAATTTATCTACGGGTCATGATCATACAACATTTCTGTAGGCATTTAATTGGAGTACGTTATTAATTATACATTTCAGATAAACATGAACTTAGTACAAATTGAACAATAATCAAATTATTGTTTGCTGTACTGTATTTCTCCTAATATCAACTAATATCTACTATGTCGTATATCATTATGTAGGTAGTTAATTCTATTAAAATGGTTAAATGTTTGACGTCATAGTTAAATGTATTTATATAAAATTTGATACAATGGTAGATTTTAAAAAAATAATAGTAACGAGGATGTGTAGTTCCATTGCTAGCAATATTCCCTGACAGGTTGTCGTCCACGTGTTCCCCCTGGAAATCATCGCGGTTAATTCTTGATGAATTAGTCATGATAAGTTAACTTATATGCTTCCATCTTCACCTACTATCACACATTCGTGTCCCGCTGTATATTGATGGAACAAGCAGGATTGTAAAACCGTCTTTATACGTCTTTACTTATCTAAATTACGCTTCTATTAAGTTTAATATTCTAACATAGAGTTTTGCCTAAATAAAATGGACCTACATAAAAATAATTACAATAATAACATTCAATTCAATAGTATAGGTTAGAATTCATTAAAATTTCCTCCTGAAATTATATAGTACATATTGGTAATTAGATAAACCGCTGCCAATAGTTTATTACAAAAACCCATTAGCAATAACGTGTCAGAAGTAAGAACAAGCTTCGGATAATTTATTGCTTGAGTTTTTGCTATCCAAGACATTAATTTGTTTTGCGTATTCTATACTTAATTGTTGTGTTGGATTTTTTTTTATAATTTACTTATAGCATTAACAGTGGATAGTTTGCAGTGAAAGAAAAAGAAATAATGATAATGTAGGAATATTCATTAACCTTACATGCAATTGTTAATATAAAATATATATTTGCTGAACATATGGTTTTTTTTATTATTTATGGTCAAACAATTTTTTGTTCTTTCTGTTTTATATGAACTAAATCGATAAATGATTTAGTCCAAAGACGCCGTGACTAAAGTATTTCATTATGATTAACTAATGATTTTTTATTATTTTTTACTTTATTACTCATTTTCAATATAATATTTATCTTTAGATCAGATAAAGATTAGAAATTACGTAAATTTTTACTTCGAACAATTTTGATGTGACTAAAATAACTAAAAAGTGCAGTTGTTTAAATTTGTATTTCTTTCTAGTGATTCTTTATCTGTGGTGGTAAACAGTTGTTGCTGTCTATTTGCCCGCATATGATAAACGGGCGGTGCGTACAGAGGCGTGTGCTCCCAATTGTTCCCAGGCCATTCGGCAAACGAATAAACAATTAAAAATTGCTATTTTATTGCATAAAAATGACATCGCTTTTATGCTATATCTTAAATATTAAGTATCGAATTTAAGATTTTGTTCCACAAAAAAAAAAAAAAAACAATAATTATCTGCGTGCAAAAGACTATATACCTATAAAGTGATAAAGATATAACAAACATTTTCATTAAAATATTTCAATTTAGAACATAGAATTATACACCAAATATGATAAGCAATATTTTGCTTTGCAAAATTAAATATAACTGTGACAAAACTAATATAAAACAAACAAGAGAGCAAACTTAAACGATTGTAAATCGCGATGCAACATGCACACTCAAAACTATTCAAATTAGGAACCTCCTTCTTATGAAAATTACTTCAAAATAAAGATCATTAGCACTCGGCTTTCCCTTTCTATCACATAGATAATTTAGAGAGAGATCTAGTACGTAGTACGTAGATTTACATTCACAGGTTGATCTCATTTGTTAAATTCCTATAAGGTTAATGGTTACGTGGAATGTAATCACATGTTAATATTTGCATAATTTAGACTGGACAGTCAGCTGTCGTTTATTTTTTCCTATAATATTATGTGATATATTAAAACACGAATAATATTATCAACGAAACCTACTTGTATATTTATATGGGTGTCTTTTATCGCTATTTACTGTACATGCTCCTTTGATTCCATCTTCTAAATCCCCCTTGAATCTATACTTGGCATGGATTTTTAAGGCAAGTATTTCAGTCTCGTTACATAAACCTCCTTCCTTATTTTATAAATTTGCGATGTGGTCACGACATGGTGGCCCCTTCTTTTCCTATAGGTGTCGTAAAAAGCGACTAAGGGAACTTAATAGTCAAGGGATGGGCAGCAGCTCTTAAAATATCTCCAAGGCCTAACTGCAGTTGCCAATCTGCCTGCCAAGCGTGACAATTACTAACAGAACTCCCTAATGGAAGCAAGCCTATGTTTAACAATGGACAATTAACGGCTAATATGGAATATTTTAAAAGTGAAAGTGTGTTTGTTAACTTATAGCACCTTAACGGTTTAATCAGTTACTATGAAATTTGGTATACACTTACTATATGTCATGAATAAGGATTTAAGCTACTGTTTATCCCGTTTAGTAAACATATTTCGGTCACTCAGATAAGTAGCGGGTAAAGTCCAGTCGG